ATAAATTAAGTTCCTTGGAGCCAGACTCTCCATTACAGAATAGAGCGTATCCTTTACCTTCATGTAGTGGAAAGATTCTCTAAGATGTTTCCCTAAACAAAGAAGCAGTGTGCCCTCAAAACTGAGCTCAAAACTTTTTCCTTGAGGGAAACAAACTACTGAAAGCATTTGAAATGTCAGTTTTTCTTACTCAGCCATCTGAGAAGCTGTCAAAGTCTCTTGGGATTCACACTAGACCAGAGGACACCATTAAAATCTGTTTTACTAGCACTCAACAAAGTGCCAGTAGGTGACTGGGGGGAAATGAGACAGATGAACAGTCTAGTCATGAAATCAAATACTAGGCAATAATTTCATTCAATATAATAAAGCGAAAATGCTATAAAAGTATGTTCAATGTACTTTGGGGACAATTATGCAAAAATTCTCCATAGTCACTCTCCTAAAGAATGATTGCCTCTTCTAGTTTATTATAGGGTTTTTAATTTTTTATGTTCTTTATTTTATACATTTCTTTAGCCATCATAGCCTCCAGAGGGCCAAGGATGGGGTGATCCATATAGTCAGTGCTTAATAAATGAGTAAACACTAGTTGACTTGAGTCCCATACAGCCTCCCATATCTGGATCTCATTATGAAATAAAATCTGAAACGTGCAACAAAAGGCCCATGCTCGACTGACATCTTAATTTTCTCCAAAACTCTATTTTGGGGAAAGAAATTGTTTGTAGCCTGGGTCTTAGGAATGCAATGTTTTGCCTCTTCGAAGTAGAAGTTTAAGTCAGTAGCAGGCAGGCTCAACATAGTTAAGTGGACAAGCATCAGTGTCAGAGTGCTGCATGTTCTTCATTGTTGTGTTTTTATCTTCACAAAGTATTTAACCTTCTCACCATACCTAGGGCTCCCTTCCTAGTGAAAGTTGATTGCAGGAAAGATGTAATATCACATGGATTTTGGCACATGTTAGTGTGTGACCTACTGTGACAGAAGTTGAACTTCAAGCTTTATTTTTAATTAAAGGATGAATGACTTTCTACTAAACAGTTGGTGTTTCAGTTTGCAAGTGAGTGGTGGCATTTTTTCCTTGGGGACTGCACTGTCATTGTCCTAATTGCAAGATGTGAACAGCTGTGTACTAATCCCACATAAAAGCTAAAATGATTAAAAAGCATTGATGTTGGTTAGTGTGTTCACCAGAAGGACTACACACACCACACACATCACACACATCCCACCCCTCCCGCACCACATACATCACACACATTCCA